CAATGCGGTTGCTTAACCACAAAATCCTGAATGGCATCTGGGAACAAACCAATGTGGGCTGCTGGTCAAACACTGAAGAGAAAATAATGTAGATAATATTTGTTACAGCTAAGCCACGTTTTGGAGGGGGAGGCATAGCTCAGTGGCCGAATGCATATTTGACACCTAGAGGACCCCATTCAGTTCTTAGGATTGCTACTCAAAACATTTTAGGGAAGGCCAGGAAATATGCGTTCTTAACAACCTGGAGAGCTGGGTCTAATTAGATCATCCTGGGCTAAATAGATTAATGACAAAACAGGTTCATATCAGCTGAAACGTCAGCATAATATTTAAGTGTCGCTGTAAGGAGAAGACTTAATTACAATTGCTGAACCTCCTGACTGCAAGAATATGATTATCACCATTTTTGAAACTTCCAATGGATTTATTTTAGGGTCTGACTTTTATTTTCCTATAACCGGCTAGTGCCTCCTCAACCTACAAAGCAAATATTCTCACTTTCTAGTACTTATCAAGTCTTAACCCAGCTTCTTAGATTCTGGGGAATACATTAGAAAAGGAACTAGTACAAACCTTTCTCCATGTCTTTCATGAAGATCCAGAAATCAAATTGCAGAGGTCAAGCTGGGTCTTCTCTGTACTTCTTCCCCCATCAGATAGATATCTGTAGTGAAGTGCAGTATGCCTGCCATCAATATTCAGCTCTTCTTGGCATGATTTAAAAGCTGAAACTATTGAATTAAACAGACTCACAAACAGGAAGTATTAAGAGACATGGGAGAGAAAGAACGGGGTGGAGCAACACCCTAAGACAATGCAAAAGTAGGTCATCGTAAGAATGGCAATTAGGAGATGAATCAATGGGTTTGGCTTCTGCTACTGTGGAAAATATGATTAAGGAAACAGATCTGTGTTTCGATAAAGTGGCACTGGAGTCTGTTGTTGCTTCTTAAGAGAATATTTAAGAAGCAGAACGTAGACGTTCATTTCAGGTTAGTCCAGCTTTTTCAGCATCATGCATTAAGTTCCTACCAGCTCTTTCAAGTTTTATTTGCAATTAATGTCGTGTCATGCCACTCTGAGAGCCTTTATGAGTTTTTGAATGACAGTATGCTAGAATATGCTCTAGCCATTCATTTCTAACCTGCACGCTCAGGTGGATTAGAGGAGAGGGGAACCTGTGGTCCTCCAAATGACATTGAACCCCCAGTTTGGTTCTTCTTCCCCAGCCAGCATAAGCAGTGGCCAAACCTAGATTGCTAGAGCAATTTCACCATAAAGAATAGATGAATCACTGTCCTTAAATAGCTCAGATCAGGTCATCTTGAACAGAGAGAATGGTGGAGTTGTGATGTTGGAGGAATGGAATGAAGCCATTGATAAGTGAGGCATCCTGATCTGGCATTGATAGAGCAGAGAGAGAAAGCGCTCTGTGTACAACTTTGAGTGAACTTAGTGGAAAAAGCTACCAAGCCTCTGGTGCTTTTATTGGAAAAAAAGAAGGGAAGAAGTGTAAAGGACAAATTTTTCAAATAAGGGTGGAAAACACAACAGGAAATGGGAACGGAAGATACAGAACCGGGCGTAAATTAATGAATACATGACACGAAAAGAACTATGGAATAATTTATCAACATATGATCACAGCGGACAAAGGTAGAAAGACTTATTTTGACTGCCTTTCTCCATACGAACTGACCTGGACCCAGTGATCATCATAGGAGGTCCTTTGTGTGCTCCCTCCATGAGAGGTCTGAAGTGTGGCAACACAAGAACGAGCCTTTTCTGCGATCGGGTGGATCCCCAGTTGTGGAATGCTCTCCCCAGGGAGGCTTGCCATGTGCCTTTGTTACATATCTTTAGGCGCCGGGCAAAATTTTTTTCTCACAGGCCTTTGGTTAATTAAACAATCTATAGTCTTTTAAACTGTTTCTGTGGCAGGCTATTGTTTGTTACTATGTTATGTGTTTTGTGTTTTTATATTGTAAACTGCCCTGTGGTCCTCGTATGAAGGGCAATATAGAACTTTAATAAATATAAATAAATAAAATAATAATGTGGTTGTCGGTATGCTTGATTAGAGAAAAACCATTGCCGACTTTGATTAGTAACATTACAGTGGTACCTCGGGTTACATACGCTTCAGGTTGCATACGCTTCAGGTTACAGACTCTGCTAACCCAGAAATATTACCTCGGGTTAAGAACTTTGCTTCAGGATGGGAACAGAAATCATGCTCCAGTGGCGCAGCGACAGCAGGAGGCCCCATTAGCTAAAGTGGTGCTTCAGGTTAAGAACAGTTTCAGGTTAAGAACGGACCTCTGGAATGAATTAAGTACTTAACCCGAGGTATTACTGTAAGTACTTAACCCAAGGTACCACTGTACTTAAGAGAACCCCTCTTTGGACTTTTTGTGTGAAAATGAAAATGAATGAATTTGAAACATTTGGGTCTGAAGACTGGGAAAATCTTGCTTAATAGAAAGCAGAACAGTTGGTCCAGCTTTCTTTTGTGACCCTTTGAGGAGCCCAATGTGCCAGTGCCACATGTGTGAAATCACGTGTGTGTAATGTCACACACATGTGACACCCTCCCCAATGTTAGATGCAACATGGTCCTCTGTTGGCTATTAATCACGGTGCATATGTATGTGTAGTGTTTTGCAATCTATACATCTTAAAGCTTCTCAACACGATGTCCCACTCAAATGTGACCAAAGCTGTGTAGGCACTAACTTGTTTGTAGCACAAACATGTATTTTTCTCCACGCAAAAGCATTCATGCTTGTTCTCAATGTCAATCTAGGTTGATTCTAGATCTTGGCATCCATGAGTGGGTATGGTTAATAATAATAATAATAATAATAATTTATTATCTATACCCTGCCCATCTGGCTGGGTTTCCCCAGCCACTCTGGGCGGCTCCCAACAGAATATTAAGAACACAATAAAACATCAAACATTAAAAACTTCATTAAACAGGGCTGCTGTTTAATGTCTTCCCAAACACAGATAGTTGTTTATTTCCTTGACATGTGATGGGAGGGCGTTCCACAGGGCAGGTGCCACTACTGAGAAGGCCCTCTGCCTGGCTCCCTGTAACTTGGCTTCTCGCAGTGAGGGAACCGCCAGAAGGCCCTCGGCACTGGACCTCAGTGTCCGGGCAGAACCATGGGGGTGGAGACGCTCCTTCAGGTTTATTGGACCGAGGCTTTAAAGGTCAGCACCAACACTTTGAATTGTTCTTGGAAGCGTACTGGGAGCCAGGTTACTTGATATGCATTTGAAATGCCTCCCTTTGATTAGGTTATCCCTACCTATTCCTCTCTGCAGGTGCCCCAGGTAAATGAAGAAGTGATCTTCACTGTTATCTTGCTGCACAACCACCGACACCTACATCTGTTTTCAAATGGACTCACTGCAGGCATGGGCGGAACCAATACAGTGGTACCTCAGGTTACATACGCTTCAAGTTACAGACTCCACTAACCCACAAATGTTACCTCGGGTTAAGAACTTTGCTTCAGGATGAGAACAGAAATTGGGCTCTGGCGGCCCAGCAGCAGCAGAAGGCCCCATTAGCTAAAGTGGTGCTTCAGGTTAAGAACAGTTTCAGGTTAAGTACGGACCTCCGGAACGAATTAAGTACTTAACCTGAGGTACCACTGTATTTATTTGTGGGGGGACAGGACACCCACCTGTCATCATCCTCTGTCTGGAAGATTTGGAATGAAATGTCTCAAAAACAGTTATTTTAAATTACTTTCTTTTGATCTCAGAAAAATCTTTCTACAATTTCTGCTTTTAGTTAAGTATTTTTATTTATTAACTTGATTTAGGAGGGGGCAGCTCCTCCCCCCCCCGCTACGCCCATGATAGCGGTGTAATGCTGCCTCAATCTGCAATGAACCTTTTCTTCTGGAAATAAAACCAGTTGCTTAAGAAGCACTTTTCAGAGCCAGAAATATGCAATAGATCTAGATGGTGTGAGTACTACATAAAACACACGCCCAAGTACTCTGTTTCTGTTGGTTCTAGAATAAAAAGCGTATACAGAGCCTTGGATTCCCATCTGGAAGTAAGTTTAGTTAAATACAGTGTAACTTTCTGCACTGTAAGAAAGGCTGGATTAAAAAATTAAAAAAAGTGTTTCAGGAAAACGCTTGTAAGTTTCATAAAGGGAAATCACGTTGGCAAAAGACGGGACTCCACAGCGCCATCTGGTGTCACAGTATTATAACGCATATAAAGGGCTTTTTCTTTACTAATGTAGCTGAAAGCCCCGATCAGAAACATGCAAATGTGATCCCCCATGGTCCACAATAGCTCCAATTGGTTTCTCTGGAACAAAATTTATCTTTATTATTATATATGGCGCCTTCAGAGCCCATGATGGAAAAAAGTTTATAAATAGTTTTCTTCTGGATTTCAGGCGCTAGGATCTCAGCAGTTCTCGATACCTTATGCATGCTATCATATGCTTTCCCATAAAATAATGAGCATGATCAGCTGATGTTTTCCTTCTCTGTGTACATGGGGGAAGCTTAACGGGCAACCTTTCTAAGAGTGCAAGGGTGAATTGGGATGAGTAGTGCAGGAAAGGCACTCTGCACATGTACAGAGATACTCTTTGTCATCCTATATACTCCAAACCTCAACTCAGGTTTTGGAAACCCAAAGCTCAAGACACTTCTGTCAGCTATTATGCCTGTTTCACATTCATATGCAAGAGTTACGACCTCTAGTGGTTTTTACCGCACAAATGTAACTTCAGCTGAAAGGTAAACCTGACTGAACGGCAACAATCGTCCATGCAACCTGCGGGGGGCTAGCCATGTGTTGCTGGCTTTATTTCAAAACGCATAGCAGACAGTCTCCTCTTTATTAACGCTACACATCCCCAGAGATGAGCTTAAACCACTTTGAGGTTGCTCTCTCTCCCAACCCCGCCAACCACAATAAAGCAGCAGTGTATAAATTTTGCGAAAGCAGGTTTGGATTGGATAGCCCAAGTCAGTAGGGCACAAGACTCTTAATTTCAGGGTCGTGGGTTCGAGACCCACGCTGGGCAAAAGATTGCACGTGTTCAGGGTTTCTCAAACTTGGACTACAACTCCCATTATCCCTAGCGACCGGGACTAGTGATCAGGGATCACGGGATTCGTAGTCCCCCAAACAGTTTGGGAAACCCTGAACTAGATGACTTTCGCGGTCCCTTCCAACTCCACATGATAATTCCAGGGGGGGCGAAAAAGCAAAAATTAGGTTCAGATGAAGCCTCGCTCTGCTGCCTGCCCAATAATATCGTTCTTTTCTCTTTCTGCCCCAGCCACCCCCGCTCCCTGTTCTCATGGCTTTTAGCAAGCGGCATTTAAAAAACGAGCAGCATTAGCCCAAGCGGCCAATACGGAAGTGCTGCATAGAAATATAACGTACATTTTTAATATAAGTTATCCAGCGCAAGGATAACCATTTGAAACGAATCAATGGGCGCATTGAAATTAATGGAGGAATCAAAGGATGCATTAAGCCCACACGGGGCAGATTCCCTCGGGGATCTGCGGGGAGGATCTTCCCGTAGGGCAGGCTCCTCTCCCGCCCGCGGAGGGGTTGGGCTTTCCCTTCCCGTGGGGCGGAGATGGTGAGGCTGACGCGCTCTCCGTGCGCCCGGCTCCTCCTCCGGCCGCCGCGCGTTACGCTGCCAGGAAGCGTGTTTGCCGTGTCTCCCCACGCCGGCGGGATGGAGAAAAGCCGGGGGACCTTCGGCGGGCCCAGCGCGGACCCGGTGCGCAACTTCGAGCGCTGGAAGAAGAACTACGCCAAGCGCAAGGACCGGCTGCGCCAGCAGCGCCAAAAGCAGAAGCGCCCCGCTTGGGAGGTGGAGAAGGAAGGCATCGCCAGGTTGCAGCAGAGTTACTCGCAGGTAAGGGCAGAAAACCCCCCGGTTCCATCTCCAGTAGAGCCGGGAGAGACCCCTGGAGAGGTGCTGCCAGTCAGTGCAAGCAGTACGGAGCTAGATGAACGAATGGTCTGAGCCGCGAGAGAAGGCAGCTGGGCGCGCAGGGTGCTTTGAAAGCGCACCCCTTCCTTCAAAGGATTCTGGCCCCTCGCGGTGTCCAGGAACTACAGCACCCAGGATCCTTTGGGGGAAGGAGGGGGATTGCTCCAAATGTGTTCTGGAGTGGTTCTCAAACTCCATCCCCCCTCCGGGCCACACTTTCAGAATAAAAAATTAATCGCTGATTATTATTTTTATTGATAAAAAATGCAGTGGGGAACGAAAAACAACAACAACTTGATTTGGAAAAAAAGACATCTAAAGTCATACCTCGGGATAAATACTGTTACGCTTCAGGTTGAGCACTTTCAGGTTGCGCTCCGCAGCGACCTGAGAGTAACAGAGCGCGTTACTTCCGGGTTTTGCCGCTCGCGCGTGCACCGACGGTCAAAATGGCGTCATGTGCGGAAGCGACGAAACACCACACGCAGACGCGCTGTCGCGCCTTACGTTCTGTTCAGGATGCGAACGGGGCTCCGGAACGGATCCCGTTCGCATCCCGAGGTACCACTGTATCCATATTCTGCAAATAAAATTATTTTGAGACTAGTACTGTATAACACACTGAAAACTTTAAGTGTTCCAGAAGACAAGGGGGGGGGGTACCAGTAGCCAATAAACGCTCCTCCACCAACAGCAATAGAAATGTAAAAAGCCACATTTTAGCAGTTACTGGAAGGCATATGCTTTGGGTAGGCAAACTAAGGCCCGGGGGCCAAATCCGGCCCAATCGCCTTCTAAATCCGGCCCGCAGACGGTCCAGGAATCAGTTTTTACTGAGTAGAATGTGTCCTTTTATTTAAAACGCATCTCTGGGTTATTTATGGGGCATAGGGATTCATTCATTCCCCCCACAAGGTCTGAGGGACAGTGGACCAGCCCCCTGCTGAAAAAGTTTGCTGACCCCTGGCATATGCTGATGTTGGGGGCCAGGCAGACTTCCCTGGGGAGGGCATCTAGTGCTAGTACCAACCTGGCTTGCCTCCATTGGAAGATGGACTCAAAACAGGATGTTCGATGACATGAAGTGTAGCAGGTTGGAAAAGGTGTTCCTTGGGGTTCCCTGGCCTTGTTTCGGATGAGGGTGCAGAAGGATGGAGTGTAGTTCCTATTAAGGAAGTAGAAATTCAGATTGGATCACATACATTAGTTTTTGGGGGTACTGATTGGTACCAGTGTTTGAAACTCCCGTTATTCTAGGCACGTTTTGCAGCAGGGAATTTCATTAGCGCTAACAGTTTCTGAGCTTAGGGTGCAGTACTGCGCTTAAGATTTCGGATTAAAACTGCAAAGTGGAAGGAAAGGAGAACCTTTTTCTGCCTCCCCACTCCCAGCTGCTCTCTGAAGACTGAAGAATTGACCCTCTTAAGAATATTAAGGGGGTGGACAGGAGAAAGACTAGACCATGTGAAAAATGAACATATTTTAACTGCAGTTCAGCTTTGTATTCCTGTTATTAAAAAGTGTGCCTAGGCATTCCGTTGTTGCGCCCTAACCTAGGCTTAAGGTGCCAATTAGCTCCTCGCTTTCATATCTCAGTTTCTAACACTGCTTGGCATTGCTGAGGAAACCCAGTCAGACGGGCAGGGTATAAATAAAAAAAATATTATTATTATTAGGTGCCTGGAACCCCTGGATTCTTGCGTCGCTCAGGGATTGGAGTTGGGTGCAACGCTCTGTGTTCCTTGGGCTTGCATGCCTTCATGTTGTGAACCAAGAAGGTCTATGTACACACGCAAATACTTTGAACAATACAATTGTGCAATTTCTTTGTGAAAGGTGTTAGTGTTTAACAGTAGTGGCCAGTCTTCTAGAACACGTGAGCGAAATCTAAAGCACAGCGTTGTATCTAATATATATTTTTTCCTGTTGTTTGCCTCATTTGCTGATCTGAAGTGGGGTGGAATTCCCCCCCCCCCAAAAAACCCCTATGTTTCAATCAATAAATCATTTTATTTGTATGTCACCTTTCCGTAGTTAAAGGCATGCTTGAGGCAACTTACTACATGGGAAAAAACATAATTCAAAACATAACGAAAGTAGTCATAAACAATAATAACACAGCAATAAACCATACCACCAAATTGAACAACATAAATCGTACTATAGATACAAACGATTCGTACAGTGGTGCCCCGGAAGACGAATGCCTCGCAAGACGAAAAACTCGCTAGACGAAAGGGTTTTGCGTTTTTTGAGTCGTTCCGCAAGACAAATTTCCCTATGGGCTTGCTTCGCAAGACGAAACGTCTTGCGAGTGCTTGCGAGTTTGTTTCCCTTTTCTTAAAGCCGCTAAGCCGTTAATAGCCGCTAAGCCGTTAATAGCCGCTAAGTCGCTAATAGCCGCTAATAGCCGTGCTTCGCAAGACGAAAAAACCGCAAGACGAAGAGACTCGTGGAACGGATTAATTTCGTCTTGCGAGGCACCACTGTATCTTTTAACAGCAACAACCCCCACCAACAAAACCCTCTAAGCAACATCCCAGCCTAAGAGTCTGTTCGGCAGCCTCAGCTACTACTACTACTACTACTACTACTAATATGATCCATGGGTCCTCCTACACTTTCCTCTCTTTCAGCTACAGATCTCTCCTACCTGTAGCATGTGAAGTGGATGGAGTTGGACTTTTCCTCTAGGAAGGAGATTTTGCTGCTGGGTCATGTGCACCTGGTTCTCCCTTTTCCTGTCCTGTGTGCATGATAGAAAGCCTGTTTGCTGGCTCCCCGTGCTTGCTGGCTCCCTTTTACAGTGATTTTATTTACTGTATTTTCTGGCGTATAAGACTACTTTTTAACCCAGGAAAATCTTCTCAAAAGTCGGGGGTTGTCTTATACGCCGGCTACAGCAGCAGCTCCTGCAGCAACTCCCCACCAAAGGATAAAACGACAGCAAATTAAATCAGAGGACACCAAGCTCGCTAGATGAAGCAGAAATACACTTGGAAATTAGCCCCAGAAGCCCCCGGGCACTGGGAAGTGAAGCAGATTTCCGAGCTGGACTGGAGACTGGTTTTTTAAATTTTTATTTGGTGTGCATTGGAAGAGGGGTAGTCTTATACGGCGAGTATATCCCAAACTCTATATTTTAACTGGAAAAGATGGGGGGGTCATCTTATACGCCGGAAAATACGGTACTTATTTACCGTATTACTGTTTTGCCCAATAACAAGAGTTCTCTGGGCAGCTTCCAGTAACATTGAAAGCATTAAAATGCAGTTCTTCACCATAAAACAAATAGAAATGCAGCATATAGCTGCTGCAGAAGCAGCAGCGAACGAAATTGTTCAGGAACAAAACTCTCAAAACGCCACAACCAACACAATATTTAATTTAGCTCAATCTTAAAATGAAAAATTTGGGTTTTTAATAAAGTTCTTAGCTTGTTGCTGTACAGACCACAAATCTTTTCCCAATCTTTTTTTCATGGGAGGCTGCTGATGTACTCAAAGCACCCTGTGTTTACCATGAATTAATGCTACTGTCATTTCAAATACGAGTACATTACGTTTTTAAAAAAAATTATTGAGTTATACTGCAAATACATACAAATCAAAACTTTTAAATGTGAAAAGAGGAAAAAGGATTTAAAAAGGTTACAAAGAACAAAAAAAGAAAAAGGAGAAATCTAAATAAATTACCTAAACTAATACAGTTAAATCTTAATGAAGGTAAGAAAAAATCATAGATGGAACAGCGTTAACTCATTCATTATTAAACTAAGACTTTGCAAACATACACTTTAAACAGTTAACTTTTACATATTGTCTGTTTTCCTAAGAAGCTGACACTTCTTAGGTATTTCATTTTTCATATTCTTTTGTTCTTTGGACTTCCGTCAGTCTCATGACAGTTCATTATTCCTAATTAAAACCAACTTATCTGTATTTCAGTACATCCCTCATCTTGGTATCAGGGAGCTTTTTACCTTTGCAGGGTTATTCTAGACACAACCAGATCTTCACTGCTGAACCTTGACTCATCAGATATTTATTTAGGTACCCCCATTCTTTCTT